AATAAATAAAAAATCTTAATAAAAATAATAATAATAAAAAAATAACCGCTAGTCATAAGCTCTATTCATTTATGGATGAAGCAGGGAAATTGCAAGGATTAGGGACAGCAAACGATTCTAAACCCCATTCTACCACTTGCAACGAACCATTCACCTTTGCAAGGATGAGGAGGGGAAGCCGGAGACTCTGGGTCTCCTCTATCAAAGCAGCGTATTATTACATGTTGATCCAGATGACAAGGATGTCAGCTTTCGAGTGTTCTTGTTTCAAGAGTAGTTGTGTCACTGCAAATTTTCTGACTAATGAATTTATCATACTGTCGCCACAAAATACTGGATTCTTATTTATCCAGGTTCAAGAACTTACTGCATGGCCACCATGTTTCTGGTACTTTGGTGTGTAGGATACAAAATGAATTAAAGCAAAATCCTAATTCTTAAGGGACTCATAAGCTGTGGCAGAAACATACACATTCGTCCATTCATACAACAATAATTTAGTGAGTAGTTACTCTGTGCTAGACACAGGAAGTGCAGAGATTATGAGGCCGTAAACCGGACATCTTAATTGTGTACCTTTCTCTCTTGATGTTTTAGAGGTAACACATAGCAGGGTTCATGGCTTTGAGTCAGGTCTGCTGCTTTTTTGTCGTGTGACTTTGGGGCAAGTTACTTAACCTCCCCCATTCTTGGTTTCCTCTTCCGTAAAACGAGAAAAATAATAGCACTTCCTTTATGAGTTGTTTTGAGGGTTAAATGTATTAATACATATAGCAACATATTACCTCGTCTTCTTTACAGCAAGTATGATGGGTAACTGTTAGCCACTCATTACTACAACTGAAGGTTTGGAGAATGCAGAAGTAGAAGCTACTATGATTCGGGGCATTGGGAGTGGCTTCCTGGAAATGCCTTGTAATTTGGGTCTTCATGGAGGAATTAGAGATGGTTAGTCTGTCAGTAAGCATTTCTCTCTTTTCTGAAAGATCTATTTATTTCAGAGAGAGAGAGAGAGAGCAAGAGCACGTGTGTGCAGGGTGGGGGAGGGTAGAGGGAGAGAGAATCTTAAGCAGACTCCCTGCTCAGCATGGAGCCCAACTCCGGGCTCGCTCTCACAACCCATGATATCATGACTTGAGCTGAAATCAAGAGTTGGACACTTAACTGACTGAGCCACCCAGGCGCCTCTCATATGCATTTCTTGAGCATGCAAGTGCTGGGATCAGTGTGATTAAAGACAATAACTGCATACCTCCTCCCCACCACCCCCAGCCCTCAAATCGCTCATGGTGGGGAGGCAGGCAGAAAGGTGAACCTGCAATTACATCATAGGATGACAAATGCAGTGTTGGTGATATGCTAGGATGTTTTGGGAATTTGGAAGAGGGTCACCCGCCTTAGGTGGGGGTGGGTGTTGTTGGTGGGAGTGAGGTATTAAGAAATGACTTTCCAGAGAGGTGACATTTGAACTGCCTCAAAGGGAACTGTATCTAGTCAGGTGGAGTAGAGGTAAGGGCTTTCTGGATGATGGAAGGGCTTTTGATAGGCAAAGTGAGAACAGGTGGCATATCTTAGGGACTTCGAAATCCAGGTGTATATGGGGCAGGTGGGAGATGGGGCTGGAGAAGTCGGCAGGGGCCACCTCACAAGGTATTTGGATGTCACATTAAAAAATCAAAACATTATTCTGAGGGCTATGGGCGCCGGTGGTTTGATTTTAGGAAGATCATCCTGGTAGCAACATGGAGTGTGTCTTGGAGTGGAGAGTGATTCAGGCGGGAGGTTGTTCTGTTATCTTAGTAAGAAAAGAGAACAGTCGAAAACTAAGGTATTGGTTGGGAACAAAGGAGGGGGGGACACTAGAATTTTAGAAATACTTGGGAAGAAGTTAGGATGCTGGAGGAATGAGGACAATGGGCTTAAGTTTGTAAAAGTGTAAAGTGCGACTGAGGCCCTAAGTGGTATGCCAATGGAGACATCTGGTAGGCAGTTGGGTAGACATGTTGGGGGCTTGGGAGAGAGATCTGGGCGGGAGATACTGATTTTTTCCCCCATCTGCATGTAAATGGTAGCCCAATCTATAGTTCATTTTTTTTTTTAAGATTTTATTTATTTATTTGACAGAGAGACACAGCCAGAGAGGGAACACAAGCAGGGGGAGTGGGAGAGGGAGAAGCAGGCTTCCCACTGAGCAGGGAGCCCGAGGCGGGGCTCGATCCAGTGACCTGAGCCGAAGGCAGACGCTTAACAACTGAGCCACCCAGGCGCCCCTGCAATCTATAGTTTTAATGAAGTTACTCCGGTAAAATTTATACAGTGAGAAGAACAGGGGTCTGAAGATGTGACTCTGGAAACAGGTCAGGAAGAGGAAGAGGAGTCTTCCTCCAAAGAGGTGGAGAAGAAACAGCTGGAAAAAGAAAACAGGAAGAAGCTGCGTCATGAGAAAATGAGACCTGGAGGAAGACAGCGCTTCAGAAAAAGGAAATCCTCAACCATCAAGGACGGAAAAGGCAGCTTTGTGGTTAGGAGACCACGTGCCCACTTTGTTCCGTGTGGCTCGAACACAGGGTAGAGTAGGGGGAATTCGTTAGGAGGCTGGTTGGCTTTCACCAGATGCTGCGAAGCCTTCAGCACATGCTCCAGAGGTGGGCTTTATTCTGTAGGTAACGGGGAATGCAATGAGTATGTTTTTAATAAGTCATTTTTTAAAACTGAGGTAAAGCTTACATGCACTGAAATGCCTAGATTTCAAGGATTCATTTCAAGGACTTTTGACAAGTGTGAAACCTGTGTGACTAACTCCCTAATCAAGAAAGATATTTCCATTACCTCAGAAAGTTCCCTTGTGTCCTGTTCTGTTTTAATCTCCACTTCTATAGGCAAGTACCATTCTCATTTCTACCCAAAAGATTACTTGTGTCTATTCTTGAAATTCACATACATGGAATCATGCAGTATGTAAACTTTGTTCTCTGGCTTCTTTTGTTCAACATAATGTTTTTGAGATTTATTTATATTGTTGCACGGATTAGTAATTCACTATTGCTGAATAGCAAGCATTATTATATGACGAGATCACAATTTATCTATTCCTCCATTGATGGACATTTAGGTTGTAATAAACTTTTGGTTATAACGACTAATGTTGGCAAAAACATTCCTGTACAAGCATTTTTGTCGTAATATGTTTTCATTTGTTTTGGGCAAATATCTAGGAGTGGAACTGCCGAGTCATAAAGTAGGTGCACTTTAACTTCATTAGAAACAGCTTTCCAAAGTGAGTGTACCATTTACACACCCACCAGTAATGTATGAGAGTTCCAATGTTCCACATCCTTGGCTCTTTTCAATCCTTAAAATTTTAGCCTTTCTAACAAGTGTGAAGTGGTATCTCTTTGATGGTTAATTTGCATTTCTCTAACAACGAATATTGAACACCTTTTCAGAGGTCTGCTTTTGCGTGTCTTCATTTGATAAGTGTCTGCTCCGAGAGTTTTGTCCATTTTTGTTTGATAGGTACATGAAAATGTATGCTGAGGGAAACTGATATTTACTGGCATATTATATGTTGAAGGCAATTGATATTTATTCTGAGTGGGTTTACAACAGAACCATTTATGCATTCGTCAATGAAAAACTGAATGAAAGATGGGGAAAAAAATCTTGGCATCTGTGATGTCCGGTAACTTTAAATTTAAATACCTTTATATAAAATCCAAAATATAAAAATGACTTTAAATTATATAAAAGTAACCTTAACTAAAGTTAAACTTTAAATTATACCTTATCAAATATGTTTATTACATGTCAGACTCTTTGAAGGTAGGATAGTGTCTTCTCCATTGACTACGGGAGACATCTTTATGGTTAGAAGGCAAAGAAAACCCATGTCACAGATTCAGTTTGCCTGGGATTAAGCCAGGAACCAAACCATGCTAGCGTGAGGCTTCGATTTTGTATGTAGCAGTAGATGATGTCACAAACAGAAAATACAGGGATGGACAATTTTTGAGATTGCACAGGGGAACACAAGCACTGTGTAAAGAAACATCTGCATGTTACAGTCCGCTTTGGGCACTGACTGCAAAGGCTGAGGTGGGCCTCTTTTCAGCCCTGCCCCTAACACATAGCTAAAGTATTTTTCAGCGCCTCTGAACCATTCTCACGTTTTCGGTTTTGTTTTTTTTTTTTTGCAAGTGTCCGGAATCCATTTCAGACCCACTGTGTCAAGCTCTTTGTTGGGGGTGCCGGCCTGTGCCTTTTTGAAAATAAGCCTCTAGGTGGCTGTGAAGTGCACCTAGGTGTACCTCGGCTCTCCCCCTCTCCCGCTCACAGGCTCCCCTACTTGATTTAGGGCCTTGGGGCAGGCCAATCTCCAATTAGGAATTGATGGAGTTGATGCACTTGCTACAGTAACGTTTAACAAGGGGCACCTTTCTTGTAAAAAATAGTAAGGGAGGGGCAAAGAGGGATCAGGTTGCAGGCCGTGAAATGGGCAGAAACCCAGGGCGCGCTGAGCCGTACCAGGGCCCGGCTGCAGGACCCCTCCCTGCAGGCGTGCGCCCCGGCCAGCCGCGCACGCGCACGCACTCGCGCACGCCGGCACCTCATTTGGGCGCCGGGTGTCGGCGGCGCGCGCACGGCAAATGGAGTGGGTCCTCGCGGAAACGCTGCTATCGCAGAGCCGGGACCCCCGGGTCCTGCTTGGGGCGCTGTGCCGCGGGGAGGCGTCCGCGGAGCGCGTGGAGACGCTGCGCTTTCTGCTGCAGCGACTTGAAGACGAGGAGGCGCGCGGTGGCGGCGGGGGCGCGGGCGCGCTCTCGGAGGCGGCGCGCGAGGTTGCAGTCGGGTACCTGGTGCCGCTGCTGCGGGGCCTG